CGTCAGTTTCACATGATTCTTCAGAAATCATTCAATTTTGCTGATTTGGTGCTCATTTGTTATTATTAATGTTAAATACAGCTGTGCTGCTTAATATTTTTATGGAAATGTTTAGACATTTTTTCCCAGTATATTTTTGATAAATAATAAGTTCAAAGGAACAGCATTTATTGGAAATAGATGTATTTTGTAACAATGTAAACATTTTTACTGTTGCTTTTGATTGATTTAATGTGTCCTTAATGCATCCTTGCATTAGTATGAAAAAACCTCACTAACCTCAAACTTTTGACCGGTAGTGTATCTGTATTTCTATTAAATGATGCCTGCCCTCACGGGACTGTGAGAAGTAGGCTAGGAGTGAATCTTGTAAGACGATACAAGACAGATAAGATGGATACTTGTAATTGTTCCATTAAGAGACAAGTAAAATGTTTTCTTTTTGACTTTGTCTGGCAGAGCTCTCCTATTGTGTAATCTGATCTTCAGCAAGGTCACCTCTGATTCAGATCAGATTGCCCCCAGTCAGCTATGGGAACTGTACACGCTGAGAGCTTCTGCTAAATATATCACAGCGCTCCATTTCTCTCACTGCGTCAGTGCACATGTGTATGTTTTTTCACGTGTTCACACTCAGGTCTGATGAGAGGTCACTGTAAAACAATGACACTGCAAGAATGGTCCCCTCTGGATTTATGCATGCAGTATGTTAAACAGCCAGAAGAAAAGGAGTATTTTCTGAATTTAGTACCCACCAGATGTGCTCCCTTACGGAGCAGTGTTATTTCAACGCATCAAAATGTGGTTCTTGAGATTTTACTAGTGATCCAGGGCTTGCCTTTGGCATTTTGTCAGGTAGGCTGTACAAAGAGATCCAAAAATTAATATTTTATCTGTTGTTTTTTCCTTACCCTGCCTCTTCCTCTCACACACACATCTCATTGAAACTAACATCATCGCAAATTACAGCTACCTTAAAAAAGTTGTTAGTCTTCGTTCAAGACTAATCAAGTAGTAATGATAAATGATCACAAGGCAGTGAAACTGCAACAAATTTGATTCCTTTTTATACAAATTATGATTACGGGGCAGATTAGTGATTAACAAAGACTTTTTTTTATGGTTTCTTGCACAATACTATGTTATTACCTCAAAAGACATTTACCATAACCCTTCAGGGAGTTCAAAGATTTGTAGAAGCAAGCCAAAATGGCATGGTTGCTTAAGCAAATGTGTTTTTATCTCACGTTTGCTTTTGTTAAAACTATTGGTTAGGTTTAGGGTTGGGCTTAGTGTAGGTTTACATCATTTTCAAATGTGACTCACAGGACATTTAATTTACGAATTGCTGTGATATATACAATACCCAATGTAATAAAACGTTGCCAGATTCAGGGCCATCTGTTTCAGATAAAACTGAATGTGCTTTTAGCCCCACTCATTGGACATTTCACTTTTAAAATGTCATGAAACATGCATGAAGCAACATAATATAATTTTGCAGAAAATTTCACCATAGGCACATATTTTCAATGAGCCTGGGTTGAATGAACAATAGTTCAAATATGTACATGTACTGTATGTTATTTTTTGAGAAAGTCTTTTTCTCATCTTTGATTTTTCAGACTTTAAGTACATGGTGCAGTGTGTGAATTAGCACAGCTAATAACTTCATTCACCATCTCTTTGTCAGCTCATCGATCAAGATGAGTCTTTAGCCACTTTCACTGTCAACCTTCATTTTACTGTCTGGAGCTAACCTGCAGTTTGCCATTAAGGCGTTGAAGATGGTAACTTAATGTCTATCCATATTGCAACAGTGAGACCCTCATGCAGACATTTGAACCTAAAAAACGTTCAGATTTATTGTAAAAAAATTTTAAAAAATAAATTAACAAACAGATTTGGAGCAGGAATTTCCAAGAAGGTGCCAAAGGTGAATTTAGGTCAGTGCTCCCAGCCTTGTAAGATATAGCTGGTAAACGAAAGCTTTAATCCTTATTCAACCAGAACAAAGCTGTGACCTTTATGTTTGTGTAAAGAAAGCCAGTACCTCATTGTCAGTATCTTGAGCTGACTTCATTTCCTGCATTCTCAATGGATACTCAATAAGCGAGGATCACCTTGTCAATGTCCTACCACAAACACTCAAAAGTCTTGTCTCAGCATGTTTATGATTGTGTAAAGCAGACAGGCGCTTCCATCCTTATGGCCATAAAGACCATCACACTACCGTTCAAAAGGAGTCAGTGAGATTTTTTTAATGTTTTTAAAAGATGTCTGTTATGCTCACCAAATCTGCAAAATATTTTATCAAAAATACAGTAAAAAATAATATTGTGAAATATTATTACAATGAAAAACTGTTTTCTTTTATAATATATTTTAAAATGTAATTTATTTCTGTGATGACAAAGCTGAATGTTCAGCAGCCACTACTCCAATCGTCAGTTTCACATGATTCTTCAGAAATCATTCAATTTTGCTGATTTGGTGCTCATTTGTTATTATTAATGTTAAATACAGCTGTGCTGCTTAATATTTTTATGGAAATGTTTAGACATTTTTTCCCAGTATATTTTTGATAAATAATAAGTTCAAAGGAACAGCATTTATTGGAAATAGATGTATTTTGTAACAATGTAAACATTTTTACTGTTGCTTTTGATTGATTTAATGTGTCCTTAATGCATCCTTGCATTAGTATGAAAAAACCTCACTAACCTCAAACTTTTGACCGGTAGTGTATCTGTATTTCTATTAAATGATGCCTGCCCTCACGGGACTGTGAGAAGTAGGCTAGGAGTGAATCTTGTAAGACGATACAAGACAGATAAGATGGATACTTGTAATTGTTCCATTAAGAGACAAGTAAAATGTTTTCTTTTTGACTTTGTCTGGCAGAGCTCTCCTATTGTGTAATCTGATCTTCAGCAAGGTCACCTCTGATTCAGATCAGATTGCCCCCAGTCAGCTATGGGAACTGTACACGCTGAGAGCTTCTGCTAAATATATCACAGCGCTCCATTTCTCTCACTGCGTCAGTGCACATGTGTATGTTTTTTCACGTGTTCACACTCAGGTCTGATGAGAGGTCACTGTAAAACAATGACACTGCAAGAATGGTCCCCTCTGGATTTATGCATGCAGTATGTTAAACAGCCAGAAGAAAAGGAGTATTTTCTGAATTTAGTACCCACCAGATGTGCTCCCTTACGGAGCAGTGTTATTTCAACGCATCAAAATGTGGTTCTTGAGATTTTACTAGTGATCCAGGGCTTGCCTTTGGCATTTTGTCAGGTAGGCTGTACAAAGAGATCCAAAAATTAATATTTTATCTGTTGTTTTTTCCTTACCCTGCCTCTTCCTCTCACACACACATCTCATTGAAACTAACATCATCGCAAATTACAGCTACTGTGCTTTTCCTCTGGGAGAAAGCATCTGCTCCCCTTTTACCCAGAAAAAAACACAGATGCACTGTATTTGAACACTGCATGAATGTGATGTATTTTCTCATCAGATAAGCTCTGGGGTTGCTACAAAACACACTAATATTACAGCACAGGCAGAAGAATGGTGCTTTAATAATGAGGCTTCTTTGTTCTGATCAGTTATAGACTTCTGGGAGCAAATCATTTCTCTGACAGCCTCTCGTTGACCTCTGTATTATTGCTGATCGTATTAGATGTGTAAGATTCCTGCTGCTGTAGGTGCTGGAGGCTTTTGAGTTACTGAGCAGGCTGTTTTTATAAGAAAAAACAGTTTACAGAGGTGTTGACGCGCACAGGATAGAACAGCTTGTACTGCGAGAGCTGATAACAGGACGGGCCAGGCTCAAGTTCTCTCTAAATCCTACAAAACATTCCTTGAAACAGTCCTTGAAGGCAGTAGCCAAGTACAGGCTGTATTCATCAAGCTAGTATATTTCTCAGTGACTACTGGTTCAGTGGACCCCTGGAGGTGCAGTTGCCTCACTGGCTATGAAATGTGCACTTTCCATATCATTTCCATTAAGTGCGATACTTGAATTATAATGTTGCTGTTTTGCTCATACAGTTTCTATGAGAGAGATTTCAGTGCCATATTTTCTGTTCTCGTTTTATTCCCCTAATGTGACAGCACTGGAAAGTGGTAACCTGCAGCTTTGAATAAATTCACACTTTCCTTTGTGCCATGTTCCGATGATAAAAAATGTGTAGGGGGCCAAATGAGATTGTGCTTTACCACTACCACTTACTGATTGAATCTCTTGCTAAAATTCATACTGTAAGCATTAAAGGTACATTCAGGCTTGGCCCCTCAAGGCTCTGCAGTTTCAAGCATTTTACTAATAATAGCAACAATAATATATCTAGTGGTTTTAACCAATGCAAAACATTAACAAGTACATTTAAAAAAGCAATAACAAGCAAAACTATATAGGCTAACGACAAGCACAGTGACTGTCTGCACAATGACTGCACAAATGATCTTTTACTCAACCTCATGTCTTTTGAAACGCGTATGACTTTATTTCTTTCATGGAACAAAAAAGGAGTTTGACCAAATAGTGACCACAGCTGTAAAGTGAAATTTTCATTGAACAATGACTTCAGTTTCAGTCTGTTCTTCTCACAACATAAACAATTTTTGAGAGTTCTCTGAGTTCGACAGAAGAAAGTCATACGTTCAGGTTTAGTATGACATTAGAATGAGTAATTGATGACAAAATTGTAATTTTGGGTGAGCGTTACCATTAATAAACAACCGCTATGCATCCATGCTGATAGTTGTCAGTATATGAAGACCAAGACCACTGGGACACAGCAGAACCAGTGAAACATTAGAAGAAAAAAAAAAACCTTACTGAGTTCTCTTTTAAACACCAGTGTTCTCTCACATGACTCATTTCGGCATCTACTCAGAAAAATTGTCACCAAGATGTTAAAATCTTACAGTTTTTACATTAGAAAAAAAAGGCTAACATGTTGTTAATCTCTCTTCTCTCTCGCGCACAGGACATCAGTGCAACTGTAGTGCTGAGGGTTCAGAGGACCAAGATACCTGCGACTCTGTCACAGGTCAGTGTGTATGTCTAACTGGATACACGGGTCAGCATTGTGATGAATGTGCCTATGCGTATTTCACCAACGGGACCGGTGGCTGCCAGGCCTGTTACTGTGACTCCTATGGAGCCGTGAATCAACTCTGCAATAGGTGAGTATCTGCTCTTCTCACATCAATCACATCAACCTTGTTTCATTCAGAACTATGGGTATCATGATGACTTGGTGGAACATTTCCTCAGCAACATCTTTACAACAGAATGTAGGAATAAAAGTATTTAATAGGACTGTTTGTTCCCAGCTTTATAATATATTCTTTAAATGTCACGTGCAGTGTCATGTACGGGCCAAAATTCAGCATGTTAGAAAATCTTCACTGATCTGAACTATGAGCTGTGTGTCTTTGTTGTCTGGTAGCATTTCATGTTTCATTTCCCATGTCTGTCTGGTTCTGGCTCATAGTGTAAAGCTGTACTCACCGTATGTCTCATGTTTGTCCTTAATTTGACATCTGCATGAATGCAGTCAGCAGGCATGGAGAGATCGCTCTCTGCACTGCAGTAGAGTGGCTGCTGGATTTTCCCTATCCCTCAACTTTGTCAGCTTCCTGCCAAACTGCTGCAATCATGTCACACTTATTGTATCATCATAACAAGATGTCACCTGTCAGCCATTTCTCAGTGAGCCTCTTTATGATACTTGTCTCTGAGTAACCTTCCCCGAGTACATTCCGCTGCATGTATCCTGTGTGAGCATGTTTGTGGGTGTGTCATAGTGTCATACCTTGTCTTTGACTGTGTTATTTTGTGCACCTGTTGTTCGTATTAGACTGTAGGAATACAGTTAGGCCACAGAAACCTAATATTGTCATAGCAAACCACCACACATTCTTAGAAATGTGACACTGTTTAATTCACAGCGTTACACTTCATCATATAACATGACCAACAGAACATTACAAATATTTGAAGGCTCTATCTATCTGTCTGTAGACCTATCTGTTTGTCTGTATATCTGTCTGTCTGTATGTCTATCACAGCATCCACAGTGAACTTCATGTTTGTTTTATGCTCCACACTCACAGTAATAACTCAGACACTTGTTAATGTCTTCTCGGGTGTCTATACATACATGTGCATGTAGTGTACTAGTATGTTGACAGTTTCTCTCTATGTACATAGATATGTGTGTGTAAAGCAAAGGTAAGTGTAAAGTTAGTGACTCCACACGCTGAATAATTATAGCTTTCCCACAGCAGATGGAAATGGAATAGCCGCAGTCGTGTGAGAGTCAGCCATCCGCTTGTGTTTGTTTTGGAGCGGGCTCAAAGACTGCTGCCCCCCTCTGCTCCCCCTGACATGGAGAAAGGCATCATAATTCACAGCATTCCCACTCCCTCTCCGAACACTGGCTGTAGAGAGCTTCCATTACAGTACCCAATCTGTCATTCATAAAGTCCTGCTGTGTCTGTCGTGTTTGAGTAGTATGTGCTTTTTAGGGTAAGATATATGCAATTGGGACAAGCGCGAAGAGTCTAAAATGTGAAGATATTCAAGAAAATTGCATATACATTTTAATTAGTTTGTATTCTGTATTTAGGGTGCAAAGATCACAAGGTGATATTTAGAAATGAGATGCTGCAACTCTTGCAAGTTAGCTAGCATGGTTACTGTGTGTGTGAATGTTTGTGTCATTTGCTACATAGTGATTAATGAGTCCATGCTGAGAATTACATTGCCACACTTAATCATAGATCACGACATCCATCAAAATACAGAATAAAAGTGACAGGTCATTAGCCCAGGGTGCTATAGATGTATATTTCATGCTGTAAGCTTTCATGCTACACACACAGGCATACAAGACACCCTAGCAGCCCCACACTGAGTAGGGGCCCTGACCCTAAATGGGAGGGGGCCAGTCATAGCAGTATGAGCCAATTTTATTATGGTTAAATTTGCTATGTAGAACTATTCTGCTTCACAAAAATGTCACATAAACCATCAAGTACACAATATGCAGCCTAAATGTATTTACAGTAACAGCAAGCAACAAATGCATCACACATTTGAATGTTTATTATTGATTCAGACAGAAAATGAGAGCTGTGCTGATTGACATGTCCGAGAGGCAGTGTGAAGACAGCCTTTGTCAGTCCAACTGCACCCCTGTGAAGCAAAGGAAAGATTAGAGAACAGCGTTCCATTCTAGAATTGTGTCCGTCTTGTTTGTATCATGTTTTTTTTGAGTGGTTTAGCATTTACATCTCTTGAGCACGGCATCACTACTTGTGGATATGGCCCCATCACATGGTTCGTGGGGGAGGGGGAGCCAACACTACACAAGTTGTGGTTACACAGTTGTGTGTTACCATATGACTAAGAAGCTGTGTCTAGTTGAAGCTCTGCATTTGCGGACTGTTGGCAAACAGCGTATTATTGACCAGTAGCTGCTGGAAATGTTGCTCTTTGTCTGAACGCACCACTTCACTGGCTCCCTCTTGTCATATCAATAAGTCTTTTATATCTTGGTCATTAGCCTACATCAGGACTTATACATTTTCTAGACATATAGACATTTGTTTTTAAGTAGGTGTTGGCAGAAATACTTTTTGTTTTGATATTTTCATTTTTATTAGGGCCAAATAGTGACACAGAATCACAATCAATTTGATTCAGAAGCTCTTGTTTCTATTTGATTCTGATCTTGATTCAATTCGATATCAGTTCATTTGGATATATGAGGTACAGTACATACATTTTTCATAAGGAAAAAAGGTCTCTCAACTAACTAAATAGCTGTACATTGTAGGGATGTCGCGATAACCGCAATATCGTAATACTATTGACGAGCAGAGGAATGCAAGAACCGCAGCAACCGCGATTTTTGCGTATTTTCTTTTTTCATAGGGTTATGCCCTTCTCGTTTTACACTTCGTGAATGTGCATTACCGCAAGAGAAATTCCTTCACCGCGACAGCCCTAGTACATTGTCCAGAGAACCATGTCAGTTGGTACATAACTATAATATATTTTTTACTGTAATATCTAATGAATATGAGTAGGGATGTAACGATTCACTCAACTCACGATTCGATTCACGTTTTTGGTTTCACGATTCGATTTGATTCACAATTTTTTTTTTTTTTACAAAATGAGATTTAAGACAAATTATAAATTAAATTTGTCCTTTTATTATTGCTTGGACAAAATACTGTACGTTTCTTTGTGAAATTGAAATATAACACTATAATAATATACTAATATAGCACTTG